TATATATATATATATATATATATATATATATATATATATATATATATATGTATTGCTTTCGATTCATTTTGTTTCTGTCAATTGAAGATGGTGTAACAAAATTGCTCACGTTTCTTGAAATAATACCTAATCAATAATCATATCTAGGTGTCTTTAACTATCATCAAAATGAAATGGAAGTAATGCTTCGTCGTCTACACTACCTGAAACATTGATTAGTATGAGAACACAATATATTACTGTTTCAGTTGACAATTATTGCTCGGCTTATGTGGCTTTCATCGATTGAAGCTTTCCACTAACCCTCTGTATATACAACAAGTTACGCCTGTGGTTCAACAACTGCACACGACAGATTGAACAACCGTGTCTTCGTGATTTTATGACCTCAATCAACCGATCGATTGCTGTTCACTCAGTTGGCGGGCTGACCGTGAACCAGATCCTACCTAATCGCATGAAGTCCATTGTGAAAGCCACATATATTCGAGCCCTAGCATGTTGTTGTATAATATGTGCGTGTATATGTGGTCGCGAACTACGTCGCAAACTTAGTGCATTGGATTACCTGCTTCTGAGTTTTGTCCAATGACAATCGTTTATTCAAGACCGTCTATGTCACTCACATTGACCTTTTAGGTTGCATAATATTTAACATTTGCTTTTAATGTTGCTTGCTCAGTTCCTTCTGTGTTAAATTTCGGGGATCTTCTAATCCTGTCTCACCATACATTTAGTGAGCTGTAAAATAAAATGCGGAACCGAATAATAGACCACTTCTGAAATCAGTCCACTGTTGTATTCTTCTCCCTACTGTTTTTACTGTTAGTACATCCCCTCCCGATCGAATTTCGCGAACGGTGCCTGAACGAGCATTATGGTCTAAGCAGTGCTTTCGGGTCGAAGCCATACAGTCCTTTACTTTGGTGATCGCTAAAACTGCTAAGCTCTGCGTATCGTTTTGGGTAACCATCTTTAGGTATCGTCCATCATCACCGAGTGTGAAGTGTAAAATGACTTTTAATAAAGGCTCTCATTAATGGTCGAGTCACTGAAGACAGTGCTGCTGATTCAGGACTTCTATGCATTTCATCATGTAGCATTAATGCCTCATTTCGTTTTTCAAAGAAATTCATAGACAACTGGTTTAAAAATTTTATCTCAACCGTATGATCAGGCTCCATTGCCATGAAAAAGTAAGCTATCTGGAGTCTCGTCGAAAGACTTTACTTATAGTGTCAACAGACGGGTATCGGTAAATTGGCGTAAATACACCAAAACGTCTCATTTGCAACCGGTCCGGAATTCTCGTGAGCTCACAGAATAATCAGTGAAACGGTAGATGCGCGTTGCCTGTATTCTAACACGGCAATTCGCTCTTAAAAGTCTTGTTCATTTTGGACCGTTGAGAGAAACAGCCAATCACATTCTTTGGCGCAGTCCGAACACACTGGTCGTAACACTAGTTTTCCGTATCATTACTTGTACCTTGCGCGAGTTTCCTACCCGACACCTTAGTTTTCACCAGTCCAGTAACGTCAACAGGCATCTGGCCGCTTCTATCGAAAGTGATTTATTCAGATCCATTTTCCTCTTAATCTTCAATTCTCAGGGAAGATTAGGTTATTCTTGACAGTAATACAATTCAGAGTGACACTGATTTGTCGGAATAAGTACTTATCAGTGGTTATCAGCAAAATGTTTCCTGTTATCGGTCCTCATTCCTTTTAGGTCACACAACGTCTTAGGTCACTTCATTCCATCTTGTGTTCAGCCTAGTTGATACATCCGTCTTAGTTTAGTGTTTGTCTCACTTGTTCGCGCACCAGCTTATAAATGTATAAACCCAACGTAAACTAGCTGCCCGGTCATTTTTGTCTGGATTTATGGTAGATTCCATCTTGCTGCATCCGATTGGTTTAATGTCATTCCTCGCCTTTTTGCTGATAAGTAAGCAGGCAATCATTTAAGTTGATCAACTGACAGCTGTGGTTTGCACTCCATCTGATATACCGTCACCATACTGACAAACTTCCTCAGTTCCCTTTATGTAGTCCATTTGTTTGTACGCTAATTTTGGATTCAGCTTTTGTGTGCCCCGATGACGCCCTCTTAGGTGTATCTACGCATAAAACCTGTCACTAGCAATGTCGGAATGGGTGTTTTCTTCCAGGTTATCTCCAGGTGACAGTTTTATTCTTTAAAAAACCGTTTAGCCCATCAACAGATAAGAGGATTCTTATAATCCATTCATTTCATAAATTTTCAATCGGAAACCATCTTCCCGCTTATTTTTTTATTCTTATCCCTGGCTTTGTGTTTTTGTCCCTAAGAAAATGTCAACCCTGTTCTGTATATCGACAAAGTGACTCATAGTAAGAAAACCATCTTAGTTTATTGAGCATTTGTTCATCGTGCACTGAAAATGTATCATATATATCAATGCGACGATGTTGTATTACACTACCGGTAAGATATTTCTACAGCTGTCTGTTAATCGCCCTATGAAACGATATCTCAGTTTATTTCACAATCGGAATGGCCTCGAAATCAGTTCAGTATAAACTGTGTACATCCGTGTTGACTGGACTTTCAACTTCCCAGCTCGTTTTACTGCGAATATTGGAAATAAAATTGATACTGAATAATAGAAGTCGTGGAACGTAAAATTAGTTGAGGTATCGAACACATTGGGGTCGATGGATTCTCACTGTTGATGAAACCCAATCGGGTCGAAATAGCTATCCGGTGCTTACCAACTTTTCAGCTCATGCCTCATTTACACGATGAATTGATCATATAAACAAATCGAATCCTACATTAGACCCTGAAAGGGGAGTGGCACTATAAGGAGACAGGTGAGGTAAGTAACTTGAGGATCTGATTAGATGGAAAATGAAACGTTTTATTTTTGCTTTTGTAAGTTTCTAATGTCATGCACGCTACGATATCATGGACGATCTTTTGTGAAATATTCCCATCAAAGTTCTTTCGCCAACGGCCGGTAAAATGGAGGTAAAGTTTTACTGGATATTTGTGCAAGCTAAAATTACCAGTAGGAAGAAAGTTTGAGTCTCATTGGCAATCTCCTCTGAACAGTAAATTAGCCGCTTTGGTGACCGCTGACTTCAAAGTGAACGCATGGGTTAGCAATTTATCAGCTTCTTCCTTACTTGTTGGTTTTGGGGAACTGATTGCACATTACAAGGAGTATGAATCTTCTGGAATCCTGTCCCACGTTAAACATATGCGATAATACTATTGTCCAACCCCAAGTGTCGAATATCATGGTGTGTTAATTATCCGAAACGTATGCTGGCCTGACCAAGTTGTTTCTATATTAAGAAATGTCAGGAAACTATCATTTTATGTCTTACGACTGAAAACACTATCCGTCCCTCGCTTCTTGATTAAACGTTTTCTTTTTGCCTGTATTTTACCCCTATGGTTGTACGGGTCCCCAGTAATCTTTCCAGAGATGCTGAAAAAGGACTTTAAACTGCTTTCCAGATCATTAACACATTTNTTCATCATTTCCCAACATACCAAGATATGCTTTTTGTTATCAACAAAAATCATAGGCAACCCTTCCCATCGGTTACAGTAGGATCTTATTACGTGTGTCCTCCTCTTCCACCCGGTTCCGCTATAATTGTATATTTGCTCGTACGACCGCCTATCGGTCTTCTGTGGTGTCCTACCTTGCCTGTTTTCTTGTCAGCCCAGAACACATCGCTTCGGAACTTGACTCACTCGTCTCGTAAATTGTTTTCTTTTTCCTTGCTTACGACAATGCCGTTATAATTTTGTTCGATAATTGTTGGTTGACTATGTGACTGCTGAATATCCACCTTTTGGGGTGCATAAAGCAAATACTTGACTTTCATAAGGAATTCTTCTGGAAATCCGAACAGTGAATTCCGAATTAGATGGTGCTTCTTTTGGCTAAGTGGAAATTTAACTATTCTTCCACCTCATCTACTACCCTGGTCTTTGATCGTCGCGCGATACAGTGATTTCAATGTAGCACGTACTGAATCGTTTCACTATGTATCTGTCTAGTAGTTTTGTTTTCATGTATCTACACAGACGTACGTCAATAGATGTTTGATTCATTTTGTTTCAACCAACCAACTTTACTGTGGATTCGGTCGTTGTGTTCAAGCATAAATTTTCCACTTACGGTAAACTCTCTTTGGATTAGTCGTATGGTCGATCGTTGGAAAGACACAGGACAAGCCACTAAATTGTTGATGTGATCTTGCTCCATGAGACTGAATTTCACGGGAATGAACACAAAGGTTCAGTTAATGTACCACTTCAAACTTTAGATTGTGTGCCTTGAATCACAGCACTGTTAGGTAAACGTATTATTGAGGTTTTTCTCCTCCATATCAAAAATTGCTTCTTTACTCGACTTTAATACCTTGGGGTTTCGCGCTCTTTTTGACTCTTACTTATTTCCAGGTGTCGTCCAGTTCCATACGTTCTTGTGTCTATGCTCGCTACATTATAAGCAGTGTTTGAGTGCGCTTGACTTTTCTCATTTTCCTTCTCAAATTCAGAGAGAATGCAGACACGGTTTCGTTGGTTGGCAACCCGTACTACATTTCACCTGAGTGCCTGAACCGCGTCGCTCCTTATAGCTTTGCTGCAGATTTGTTCGCTATCGGTCTACTAATTTGTGAGCTTGTCACTCAGCTCGTAAATGATGGTGTTAATGTTCCTCGCACCAAGGTGAGTTTATTTGTCAAATTGATCTCATCGTTCACGTGACTCAATCCACTGGTGATGTTAGCGTCTATAAAGTGTAAAGTTAATTCAAATAGCGCTTTGCAGAACCGTGCCAGTTTAACTGGCTGAAATGACGCAAATTTTTCGATGTAGAATGGGCTAAAATCTATTGACTACAGTTCACATATCGGTATCTTAATTCCGCTCATTCAATTCAGTGTTTGTTTTATTTTGTGCTCTCACTGATTAGTTGCATGGTACTCTCTATTTGTCTGGGATCTCGCTCTGTCTTATCATTAACTGCTTTCGGTCTTAAGTGCAAATGGATTTCGTTTCATTAATTTGTTAACATAGCTTCTTCAAGTTGGTCACTCTGAATAGCCAAACTAGGTCGCATGCATTACCAAACATTTATGGCACCCGTTGATGGTTGCGTACAAAATTTTGATAACTGTACAGTGGTTCCATCATTTTTCAGTAGTGCATTTCACGCTGACCGTCCACGATAAGCTAAGGTTTTTCAACCTGAATTGTTTGTGAAGTTCTGCGTTCATTACATTGTTGTTCCGTTAACTTTATGTATGTATATGTTGTTTTTTATTATACATTGTTATGAACAACAGGAGAAGGGCCCGCGTCCATTCGTGAGAGCCAGCAGTCTGTGCCCCCGGATTTGGAGTGGCGAATCGAACAAGACCTTTCTAGGTTAGTTGTGGTATTGAACCATAAGACCGCTAAGCTGCTTCCACCGATGTTGGGTGGCGTTGGCGAGATTAGAGCCTCGGCCACTAAGACTCGGCGCACCGTTCCTAGCATTTGGAACTGCTGAATCATCACCAGCTTGCAAGGAAACCTGTCAGGTGATTGATTGCCATGTTTGGCAATCTGGGTATATGATCGAATTACATCCCGTTGGTCTACCCTAAAGCGGCGTCAATGTCTGTGTCACTTTACTTACTCATGTAATTTCCTCTAGTCTTTTCACGGTCATTTATCACTTGTTGGGCATGCAAGTCACAACACACGCCACGATGTCATTTAATTGCTTCTGCAGCCTTTGGTCGTTTTGTGATCGAATTCGCACCATGTTACGGGACGCCGCGGCCACTGTTTGTCTTTACCGTATACTCTTGTTCGAATTTCATCACATGGGTGATGAAGTAACCTGTGAATAACCTATCTGGTCATATTCAGTTCTGCTACACATAGACTTTTGGCAACCCAATTGCCAGTGAGACACTCGATTATGCTAGATGAAAAGTAGTAGATATGACTATTTTTGTTTTCGTCTACTGAGGTTAACAGCCATAATGCGGATACGCCTAATTTCTCCTTTCGTGAGTCTGCTGAAGGGTAAAAACAATTTACGAATGAAACGAACAAAAATGCATTTTTTCAAAACTAACTCCGCCCCCAACCAATCTTCATTGCACCTTTGGTTCGATAAAAACCATGATGTGGTGCTTTATGGGTCGTAGACATTCAAAATTCATTGAACGACCTCAATGTACCGTCTCCCTCGTGATCAGGTGGACGCCGTACATGGAATTGAACAAACAAACAAAAATCACCCCTTCGAAAAATTCTTATCCACCGTTTGTCTGGTTACTGGTCACTCCATTTCTGAGCACATAATCGCGCGCTTTTTTCGCAAAGCCAACACGTAATGTGTTCGGGATTCAACTGTCATGTGCTCCTGCTGATATTGGCATCGACTTTTCACGTGACATCTCGTCTCCTGATAAACGTATCCTATTATGGCAATTCATTTCCTGCAACTATCTTAACTTCAAACGTACTCCGTCTCATCAACCTCTGTGACGACCTTCACAGAGGCATATCAGTTGCTTGTTGTCACTCTTGTGGCAGTCATATCGTGTCGATAATCATGCTAATTATTTACCATCCATAGAATGAACATCCGTCTTTATGTCACTAAGTTCACAGACCAACTGTAACCGTGTGTTCTCTCTTTAATTTTCATGCACATGTGCATCCTGTTTCGGTTCACAGTTACACCGTTGATCGTTGGCTACAAAATGAATGCCCAACTGAATCTCATTTAGACTGCACTTCGTATGATCTCCTAATTGTGACTATACAAGGACCAATATCGTTGATGGTTTTTGTGATGTACTTTGACGAAACTTCGTACGGAATACTTCCTTGATCCAGAATGATTGTTGCCTCAGCCTAATGTTTATGTCCTTACCGTAAACCACCGCAGTAGATTTGCTACCTTTTCCCAAATGTACATTGAGGTTCGGTGCTGTTGCTTGGTGAAAGTGGCATTGCATAATGAAGCGTGCTAAACTCACGATCCATTAATGCTCTGGCTGATGCTTTCCTCCGGGACTTGGCAGGGTGCTGTGGTAAACTAGCTGGTAAGTTTGTGTGGTCTGTTATCTCGTCCAGTCTCCCCGTGATTTTGAAAGCACTCGCTGAATGTGAGCTGAAGATGATGCGGTTGTCTTGGTAGGTTTTCAATCTTTGGATTTGTGACAAAAGCATCAGGAACGAACTCACGAATTGTTACATTGTNACAAAAAAATGTGGGACTTCATGCAGACTAAAGATGCGTTGGAGGTGAGTAATGGTGGCCCCAGTGAGGGTGGATCACGTGATTCGTTATTCAGGCCATTTGTGACAAACATCAATTGCCAAGTGGTTTTGCGGCTACACTGAGTTTAGCTTTTAGGCAATTGGAAGCCGGTAGAGAAAACTCAAAAAGGAATCCTTATAGGGGCCAAAGCCAGGGTTTTCACTGTGAAATTTTCAGTGAATTGCGAGTTGTTATGAGAGTAGAACAAGGACTCTTTCTGTCCCCCGGATATTAGAGTCAATCACGAACAAGAATTAGCGCAAAAAAAATAGTAAAGCTTGTGTACTCTTGACGGCTTCGTGTGAGCATGATTTCGGTTCCATACTACTTGCCCTTCGATCATAAGAGGTGATATCTGGACATAGCACTAAACCGCTACAGTCCTTTCTTTCTGGGTCAGAACACAAAACGGTTTGTACGCACCGGTAAACTGTGTATCCTGATTATCTTAGTCCTAAAGGTTCCCTTTCGTTTCCTCCCTCTCCCATAGCAAGCTTGCTCCGTATCCACATTACACAATCATGCTTTGTATACATTGTGAGTTTTTTTTAGAAA